GCGCTTTACAATACAGTATAACGTACAACAGTAACATAAAACGTTGTTTTCTGACTAAAAGAAATTCACTCCAAATATTCACCTTATTAATTTAAAATCATGGCGCTCATATGACCTTATGCAGTTGTGAGCACCGTAAAACCTCTACTAAAGCTAAACTAAACTTTAAAATCAGAAACGACTTCAGCTGACATTTAAATTAATCAATGTTGTGTCAGACTACCCTTCCCACATGCAGGGACTGTGAATACCACATTACTGGTCTAGATCTACGTGTTGAGCAACACTACCTTAGAAAAACAAAGTTCTATCTGACATATTTTGCCGTTTTGAGTAATTAAGAACATACGCAATCATAAACCAAGTGTTCTATCTGCTCTATCAAAATCGTAAATTTATTTGGAGGCGCTATCAAGATATTCAAAGCTAAAGAATTGCATTCGAAAAAGCCTGACATGTGAAAATTTAAAGCGTTAAATTTCTCAAAACTAGGTACTGAGCAGATAAAACTTTGTAATTCTAGTAAACAAGGGCTCTGGATCCCAACCAAAGAAAATTATTAGCATATTATACTGTAGCATAGGATTTTAGATCAAGGTAAGTGTGGGTTCTCTGAAAAGCACTGTCAATTCAAGTATTTCAAGTATTTGTAACAAAATAAGTGTCGTTCGAAGAAAGCAGCTACACCGTGGTTTGAAGGCCCTCAGTACCGTACAATTAATGTATTTCATAATATTATGTTCGTTGCCGAAGAATGTACCCACTTAATGTTCAATTACTTAGAGAAAAAAAAGGCAGAACAATTGAGGAAAGGGGGGAAATGAATGGAGGAAGAATGGCTGAACAATGACACAAAGAAAAAAAGAATGACAAAAGAAAGACTGAAGAATGATGGTGAGAAGGGTGCAAGAGAATGAAGGACAGAAACAAAGGAGAATGAAGGAAAAAAGAGAGGAGAACGAAAGAAAGAAGAGAAAAGAATGATTTAAGAAAGACCGAAGAACAATGACAAGAAATGAAAAGAGTAAAGAAAAGAAAACATAGTAAATGAGGGAGAAAACAGAATACAAAAACATACAGAAATCTGCACATAGTTCAAAGAAAGATGACAGTAGAGGAAGACTAAGGCGTGAGCAATAACGAACAACCCCCCCTCCCCCAACAACTCAATTAACCCCCCCCCCAAAAAAAAACAACAAAAAAAAACAACAACAACAACAGCAGCAACAAACACATTTATCCATTTTCAGTACACTTGATCAGCAATGTAATGAATACTACATAATTTGTTTCACGAAACGGTGGAATCAGGCGCTCGTCTATTGTTGGCCCTGTAGAGTTGTTGGTATCACCAGAAAGCTGATTTATTTTCCTTGCTTCCGATGAAATAAATTAAATAATAATATAAATATATCTTGAACAGAGTGCAAGCTATTTGCGATTGCAGAAAGTGAGGGCGCCTGGTTTCAGTGGTGAAATTAGAGAGAAAATGGCTGCCAAAGTTTGGTAACCACAATACTAAAGAGTCTTTGAAAACTAAAACATGACATATTTTGAGTCTTTAATTAATGTTTTTCAGTAAAATTCACATTAAATTGTGTTTTTATATAGACATGAAAGAGGTTAAGAAGAAAAATTTCGATCAATATGTCCAAAAAGGCTGAAAAATGCCCGTTTCTCCGATTTCATTATTTTGACGAGCTCCTGTTTCCCCCCGCTGCCTCACATTTCATAAATGAATTGCACTTCCCTCGTGTATTCAGTAAAGTGTACGCGCGCAGTCACCCGTGACCTCATTTCGCTAGTGCCTATCATTCGTCCACTCGCCACTCAAACCGACACACCATTATTGCCCACCTGAGAAAATATACCTGTGTTCTCATCGTTTAAGACTTAAGTTGTCTGAACCAATTTCTCTCCAGCCAGTATAACTTGTCATTCAAATACGAAGGAGCGGGAACTTTTAGCGGTCAATCACCACCCGAAGCCTTATAGTTTACCCGAGAGGTTCAATGCTCTGCCCAATTTTGACTGCAGCGGGAAAGAGCGATTTGGACGTCAGTCACTGCCCGGTATAGTCAAATACAGCTAGACGATTTAGGATGATACATTTTATTCCGATTTTCGATACCTAGATCTCTACCGATTCACGATAAAGTTGAGTTTTTTTTATTCTGTCTTTATTGGGGTAGGGGTTGGATCTAAACATAAGATTTCCACACACACACACACACACACACACACACACACACACACACACACACACACACACACACACACACACACACACACACACGTACACACAAACATACACACAAACACACACACACACACACATACATACATACACACACACAAACCCCCCCCCCCCACCAAAAAGGCTTTTAGGAAACATCGTCGAAGCATCAAGACGAAAGAGCAAAAAAAGACAAATCTTGTTCCCTTTAAACAATCACCAGGAGGTGAATCTGACACAAGAATTATTTTTGTGGAGAAATTGTTTAGAAATAGTTCCCACAGTACCCTAATGTTAAAGAGAACCAATTTTCATTCATCTTTCTTACTTAATATTATGTAAGCTTCAAAAGACAAAAACAAAGAGTATAGAGATCATGATCAGTACCACCATCCCGAGCTTTTCGCTCAGCACAGTCACTGTTGCCTGGTCGCTGTTCCCCGGGCCTCAGTAATTGCCAGCACAACCAGGCTACATCTCCACATTATGGGAGGCATCATGGTGAAATCAGGCACTCGTCAAAATAGTGGAATCAAAGAAATTGGCTTTTTTTTTTTTTTTTTTTTTTTTTACTGTTGGGCAATATTTTTTAAATTTCCGTTTTTGTTTTTTAGCTCAACACCTTTTATATTCATTAAAAAACGCGTTTCTATGTGGATTTTGCTGAAAATATTGATTAGAGGCGCACAAAATGTCAACTTTCAGTTTCCGAAAAGGACTCTCAAGCTATGGAAGTCGCCAAACTTTGGTGGCCATTTCCTCACTAATTTTACTTCTGAAACCAGACAACCCTGACCTCCTCCAGTCGCAAATATTCCGACTTCTATTCAACATAGATTGATACTTTTTCCACCAAAAGCAAGGTAAATGAACAGGTTTTAAGATGATACCAATAACCCCATACACCCAAAACTGACGAGCGCCCGACTCCACCACGTCATGCCACATTATATACCTCCTCACTAGCAGCGCTGGGTAATGACTTCCTGGGCCGAAAGGTCAATATCGGAAACGTTCCAGCACGGTGATTATTTGTATAGATTATTTTTCCTTCTATGAGGTAGAACTAGGTCACCTAATAAAACCTGTATGACCCCCGGAAAAAGCCCCAGAGGTTTTGGCAAAGAAACAGTGGAGACCACTATTGAGTCTTTGTAATATTGTCTGTGTTATGTGGTATTGTGTATCTGATAATGTTGATATAATATTCTTTCTATGTATATTTGTGTGTTTGAATATGTATGTATCGAAAGTTTGATTAAATATTTGTGTGCCATTATAACCGAAATTTCCCCTCAAGGATCAATAAAGTGGAACCTATTTATTGAATACGTATACTCAAATATAAATGTTAAAAGTTTTCTTTTCTCACCTAGTCTTTAGAACCTCGTCATACCCATGAAAATACGTCGCGTAAGTTCTTACAAACTTTGTTGATAAAAGTAAAGAGAAGTACATTGACACAATAACAATAATTAGTACAAGGGAAAACGTAAGACAGACAGACAGAAACAAAAGAGGAAAAGAAAAGAAATAGGATTTACTAATGGTGCCCTTCAACCACCCACTAATTCTTACAATCGGGAGTAGGGTAGTAATTTTAACAATAAATATGATAATAATTTGATAAATCGCCTGTCAATGTCTGACCAATGCATCTGGAGAGGAGAATATAATTTTCTTGAGCGAAACTGGCCCTCCAAAAATTAATGATTACGGTGATCTCTGACCTTTTCTACGGCCAATAGGACCAAATTCTGGCTATGGAGAGTTTGTCACATTTTGTAGATTAGATAGTGCTTTCGAAAGCCTGGCAACGTAAAATCTAAGAACACTATTGTTTTAACAGGACCTGCGTCAGTTTCCGACAGCAGCGTACTCTGTCTGTTGTTTTTTTCAGAAGAGATTATTTTGTGTTAGCGGGCCATCTTCTTTGGTTAAGTTCAATCCTTGGTTTCGAAAAGAAAGAGAAAAAAAAAGGGGTAGGGGTTGATATTTTTGTTTCCTTTTTGAAAGGAGAGGGGTGGGGGGCATTAGCTTAGTTCATTATGTCTCTTTTTGTTATAGAGGAGGAAAGGTTGGGGGATAGAAAACGGAAGAGGAGGGGGGGGGGTACTGCAATTTTAGTTAGTTTCTAAAACAAATGTAGTTCAGCTTTGTCCAGAACCTGATTGTCCCCTAAAAGAGCCATTAGTTGTTTTCTAGTAATACAAAGACTGGCAAAACGTTGAGTCTAAAACTGACGATGTTGACCACTGTTTGAGACCAAACTACCAATTTAGCTGCGTTAAATACTTCTTGTTCTCTGTCCTTTCTCAACACCGACATTGTGGCAGCCTGGCAGCAGCCCGAGATTTTGTATTAGTGCGAATATGGTTGAAGAGGACTTAACATTCCTACCAAGAGAAAAGCCCAACAATTCCTCGTCAGAACGCCTGAGTTAATATACAAGTTGACTATAATGTATTCTATAAAATGTTTTAACGTACAACAGTAACAGCTGTTTCGGAGTTCTTAAAACAAAACCCAATTAACAAAGGAGTCTTACGCTTAGCTTAAGTTTGTAAAGACTTGTGATGAGCGAAGTATCACAAAGACAACACAACGTAATCTAAATCCCTTGAAAACAACAGCAAGGTTTACATAGTATTAGAAGTACATCATGCTCGTAACACGATAGTAGTATACATGTTTCATTAAAATGTAGTTCGCTGTATATACACCTATCACGAACATGCACTTGAATTAAGTTTGATCCTCTTACCTTACACTTCAGACGGTAGGAATGAAATAAAGAAGAGACGTTGAAATGAGAATGATAGCAAATCCAGACATAGCTCTCTGTATCTCCCAAGTATCCCCCTGTCTTAGCCCCGGGAGACAATCACAGCGGGCTATATCTTCAGTGTCGTGGGGGAATCGTAAGGGAAGAGATATTGTGTGGGCTTTTCTGGGACTGCTCAATGGTCTCAGAGCGCCAGACAGTTACAGTGGCTTGTGGTGTACTGGCTGAGAGATAGGGGCAGGGTGGGGCGGGTGGGGGTGGTTTGGTAGGAAGTGGG